AAAGACATGCAGGTGGAGCACCAACGAGACGTTCAAATGAGGCGATTGAGGTTTGCGCTGCTGGTGGCTTCGAAGATTGAGTCTCTGGAGAAGCAAGTGGCCGAGTTGAAGGGCCGAGTGAACGAGCTAGAGCGCGCAAGGTCGCGTAGCCCACGGCGGTGATCGCGCGTGTGGCAAACACGTAATGTCCCGTGTTGCAAAATGGAACTTCGAATTCAGTCATGAGTCATGTGTTGGAAAACAACGGATGACTGATTTTGCTCGCATGGTTGATGTATCACACACATTCAACTTCTTTGTCACGTGTGCGTGAGTGTGCACTGGAACTTTGAATTCAGTCATGTTTAGGACACAATGGAACTTGTTCGCTGGAACTTGTTTGTCACTTGTACGTTTGCTCAGATCAAGCATAGCGTCCGCAAGTTGGCAAGTTGTGGCCATGTCTGATCGCGAGAGAGATTTGCAGGCAGAGATTTTTGCCATCCTGATCGAGTTGAAGCTTTCGCTCGACTGCTTCTACCGCCTGCTCGGGAGGGTGGAGAACACGCTGCGCATGGAGAGAGTCGGGCAGAGCGTTGCAAGAGACAGGAGCCGGTCGCCTCCACGTGCAAGAGACAGGAGCCGGCCACCTCCGACGACAGATGACGATGTCGAAGAGACGATGGTGACAGGCGGCAATGACATTGGTCGTTGATGTAGCTCACTGAAGTGGCGAGCTGAAGAGGCTTTGACCTGAGCTCACTGAAGCGGCTTTGACCTGAGTGTTTGGACTTGAAGGAAAATGAACTGATGCGCTTTGCGCAACCTAGCGTTTCAGCGCTGGTGTTGGTGAATGTGTGTTGCGTGTACCTGACCTTAATGTTGGGTTTGAGTCTATTGTGCTCATGTTGGGTTTGTGTCAATTGCTTGCACTCATGCAGTTTGTTGATGTACTCATGCACTTTGTACTCATGCAGTTTGCGTATAGTGACAGTGCCAAGTCTGAAGTTTCTCACTGACCCTGCAGCTTCTGCAGAGGTTTGCTATGGTGAGAGTTTTGGGCTCAAACTTGCCATATTGTGTGGATGTGTGTGGCAAGTGTGTTCCTCATGGCGTATATGGTCTACGAGTTCATTTTTGTCAATGAGGGACAGCCATGGGATGTGACCGAAACGGTGCGACCACGATGTTTTCGGAAGTTGCCTACCAGGCAGGTAGAGCGGATGGATGCGAGAGACTTCCAGGTGCTCTTCATCGACAACCTGCCCTGGAAGCTGGACTTGAGTGAAGGGCTCGGAGCCCGTGGCTGCCACCATGTCCAGGAGACGGACCGTGGCCAGGTCAAGTGGTGGCGCTTCTTGCGTCACAAGGGTGGCAGGAACATGTTGGTTCGCCAGCTGATGGCTGGGGTGCTGACACTTTCAGCGTATGTTGGCTACTGTGCTGAGACGGAGAGGATCTACATGTCGCTGCACGCATTGAGCCAGAGGATGGTCGGGAGCGTGAGCTGGCCAAAGAACCAGTACATCACGGTTCGCGCATTGGTCCAGCGTATGCACAAACGTGTGTGCGACCGCATGGGAGTCACGATCCCATCCACGCTGAAGGCCAGGTTGGTTTTGGGATGGTTTGGGTATATGTTTGGGTGTTTGTTTGTCACTTGTTAAACCCACGCGATTGTTCGCAGGGTTGCGCAAGTCTTCAGTCTTTGCAGTGCATGTTGAGGCATGTTGGCCCCATGCGATTGTTCGCAGGGTTGCACGAGTCTTGACTCTTTGCGCTCACCCCCTGCGTTAGTTTGCAGGGTTTTGAACACTTTCCTTGCACTTTCCTGGCAGGTGCTGTCCACCCGCGTCGCGGCAGAGCTCAGCGGCCTTTTGACGGCGCAGAAGCTGCCGAAGAGCGTCGGGCTCAGGCCACTGCACAGGGTGTGCCAGAAGCTTCCGCAGGGGTTTGTGAACTTGCGGAACACGCGCCTGGAGGTGGCGGTGTCGACCCGGCTGGTTGCAAAAAGCCGAGCGTGGGAGCTGGATCGTGACTCGGATGAGTCGGAGGAGGAATCCGAGAATGGATCAGACGCAGAACTTGCTCGGTAATCCTGTTGACTTGGAGCAAAGTCTGGAGCAAAGTCCTGGATGGCAGTGGCAATGTTTTTGTAGACGCATGGCAATGGGCCTGCAACCTGGAGTCTTGTTTAGACGCGTGGCCGTGGCAATGAATGCCAGGCTTGGAGCATGGACGTATAGACGTAGATGTGTCGCAATTGAGCATGTTTGTTATGTATTGTTTGGATGAATGCAATGTATATGTGGATTCATTGAATTTCATTTGTTCTTCAACTTTGTTCGCTATACGTCTGATATACTGTCGTATTTTAGTTGTCTGAAAGACATGTTGGCGCCGGCAACAAGCCGTGAAACAGTGAGTAGCCTTGCCTTGCGTGCAAAAGTGCTAGAGCAACCTGGAGACGTGAGCATTGTTGATGTCCACTCTGAACCCATAGCACGCAGGGTTGTCTTGCGTTGATGTCTTGTCACATGAGTTGTTCAAGCCATGGATTTGACTCTCACCCCCGACGCGAACACGCGGCGCGAACAATACCAACAACGTCGCGGCCGATGGGGGAAGCATATGTCCGAAACACTCGTGCTCGGACAAAGCTTTGAGCTCGACAGTCGTGATGCCAACATCGAGGCTTGCAAGGAGGTGAACATGCTTGCGAGTGTGCGTGACCTGAAGCTCAGCATGCAGCGCTTCTCCACAATGTTTGAGAGTTTTGAGACCGCCCTGAAAATGCGCGAGCGCAGCCGCAGCCGTACTCCACCTCCACCTGCATGTGCACATGGCGATGACGATCAGATCCCAGAGAAGTGAGAGAGGGTAGCATGGATTTACCCTGCACTTGACTCTGCAGGGTTATATACTCAGTGTAAAAGGACTAGAAAGGTGGCAGTTCATCATGTTTCAATGCGATATTCTTTTGAAAGTACACCCATGCAGTTATTGCAGGGTTGCCAGTGCTAATCATGAAGCACCATGTCTGTGTGATTCGGTGATCTTAAATGATGCAAGGTGTGAACATGTGTGAGTGAATCAACCCTGCACTTCACTTGTGGTGGTTTTGGATTCAATGCAAATGTTAGTACTGCCAGCCATGGCATCGCATGAGCAGAAGGTGGCTGAGCATGTGCGTGGGATACAGCAGTTCCTGGCCACGCAGAAGGGCCTGCTGGACAAGTCGAAGTGGGGTGACCTTGTCCAGAAGCAATTGGAAAGCATTGTGGAGCGGATCGGGTCGCATTCCATGAGCATCGATGGCATGAATGCACTGTTGGAGCTCACTGCATCCGGCCCATGGAATGACAGCCAGCGAGAGAGTATCTCCGAAGCGCTCTCTGAGCAGGCTTGCAAGCTGCCTGCAGGCAGAAGACGTAGCCGACCGAATCAAACGTGCAAATCCTTCACGGGCTACTTCTCAGAGCAAGACGTGCATGCGATGAAGTCGGATGCTCATGGCTGGGGCGAAAAGCTTGACCGGCTTGCAGCTCGCTGTGTGAGAGTGGGGCTCCACCTGCCCAGCGAGCAGACCGTGAAGGAGATCCTGCGAGCCTCGCAGCAGATGGGCCTGAAGCTTGGAGATGACAGGCAGACGCGGTATGAGGCCGTGAATGCCTTCAAGAAGAGCTTGCGCCACAGGGTGCGCAATGCTGAGAAGCATCCGGTCCACGTGGTTGATGACCTGGATGGCTGGCAGCAGATGTATGATGAGGAAGACCCTCCGTGTGGCCAGACGGATCTGCCGAGACACCACTCCGCACAGTACAGTGTGCCGTTGAGACAGCTGAAGGAGGCCCAACCCAAGGCAGCCGCAGCCTCGCAAGGACAAATGGGGCACGCCCATGGAGATGATGCAGGCGATGATGCAGGTCATGATGGGCAACGCTCCGCAGCAACGCCCCGCAAACCTCCCCGGCTTTAAGATGTTGGGAGGAGGTGGCGGAGGCGGAGATCGTGGGAGACAAGCTTTGATGTTGGGAGATCGTGGGACTGACTCTCAGGAGCCGGAGACGCCCTCAGCCACGGCAAAGGCAAAGGCTGAAGCTCCTGCAGAGAAGACTCCGCCTTCAGCCACGGCAAAGGCAAAGGCTGAAGCTCCTGCAGAGAAGATTTCAGCCACGGCAAAGGCAAAGGCTGAAGCTCCCGCAGAGAAGGCTCCGAAGACGCGCCTGCCTGCAGAGAAGGCTCCGAAGGATGACTGCATGGACGTGCCTGCTGCTGAAGCTGACGCTGAAGAGTTTCTGAAGGCACGACAGAAGCGGGAGTCCACGAAGTCCACGAAGGTGCTGAAAAGGCCAGCACGCTCAGATGGCTATGTGAAGGAGTGGAGGTCCAAACACCACAAGCAGGTGATCAAGTGCGGCCGGCAGCTGTGCCAATTTGGCGATTTGGCCTTGACGCGGGAGCAACTGACCGAGATAGCTGATGCAAGGCCTGGTGCGATTCGGCTGTAAAGGCAGCCTTGAAGAAGTGACTGCGATCGACTTGATGGAAAAGGAGATGCGCTTTGCACAACCTAGCGTTTCAGCGCTGGTGTTTGTGAATGTGTTTTGCATGTATATACCTGACGCTTACTGTTGGGTTTTGAGCTTTAATCCTAAAATGGGCATAAATGGGCTTGTTTCTTGCTTGTGTTTGTCAGTTCGCTCTTCCATTTACCCAACGTTTATCGTTGGGTTTGTATTCCAGAGCTTATTGCTCAGTGTGCTTCAATTGTTGGTATATTCATGCAGAATTTGTTGATGTCAAGGAATGCGTAGTGACAGTGCCAAGTCTGAAGCTTGTGTACATTGACATTGCCAGGGTGTTTTTCAAAGGAACATTGAAAAACAAAGGAACATTGATAAAGTGACAAAACAAACGCAAATGAGGAACACATGAGCTTTTGAGAGACACATTTCAATGAAACGCAACACAAACATGAAGAACACATGAGTTTTGGAGAGATACTTTGTCAGATTGCGATGGCGCCAAAGAGGTTGGCCAACCTGGCTGGCAATTCGTATGTGTCCAGTTCTGCGCTGGCCAAGATTTTGGAAAGCGTGAAGCATAATCCAGAGCTGTTGAACGAAAGCACCTCTCGCTACACTTTGAAGCGGCGCCGTGAGGAAGAAGTTGTGGTGACTGGTATTTATGGTGACCTTGTCAAGGAGATGCGTTGCACTGGAAAGGACGGAAATCCTGTCACAATTTGCTACGCTGACCCTGTTGTGACGGTGGACCATTTGGCGCGCATTAGCCCTGCGTACAGGGAAACTTTGCGCCGCAAGGCGGCCCGGTGTTCGCCGGTTGATCGGATCAAGCTTGGCAGATCTGCGCGTACGCGGACGAAGTTCTGCCAGGCAACGTGCTGAGAGCTGTTAGCTCTCGCAAGTGCTGGGCAGTTTACTGGACGTTTCTGCAATTGGAAGAAGCCCTTGGCAGTGAGCTGTGCTGGAACACCTTTACCGTGGCGACCAGCGATCAGGTGAAGAGGCTAGAGGACGGGTTGTCCCAGCTGATGAGGGAGGTGTTTCGGCGGCTCGGAGGAGGATTCCAGGATGGAGTGTACATCGAGGGTGTTGGGATTCTCAAGGCGGAGCTCCGGTTGATGATATCGGACGAAGGCGCCTTGAAGCAGACCCTGATGTGCAAGGGGGCCTCTGGAAACAAGTGTTGCACCATGTGCCGCAACTGCGTTCTTCATGCATCTGAGTTGTGGAAGCATGGAGATGGCTTGGTCAGCCATGTCGAGCACGAGTTCGGCAGGTTTCGTCCACATAGTGATGAAACGTTGTGGTCGGTGTGTGACCACCTGGCGGCCAAGAAGCCTCATATCAGAAAGGGCGACTTTGCTCAGTTGGAACAAAGTCTGGGCATGAACTTTGGAACGCATGGATGCTTGTTTGATCTTGAGTTGAGGAGAACCTGGCGCCCAATTTCCATGGTTCAGTGGGACTGGATGCACTGCCTACTCGTTCAAGGCATCTTTCAATTGGAGGCGACTGAAGTTCAAGCTTGGACGGGGGCCCAGGGTTTTGACACTTCCAGGTTCTGTGTAAACCTTGCGGGGACCATGAAGTCCGCAGGGTTCTGTGTTTGAAACCCTGCCAGGTGAACCTTGCGATGAAGGCATTGCATGCGCACGGGTTCGACAGCACGAACATCCACCAGTTCCTGTCAGGTCTGACGTGGCCGAGTCAATTTGCAACAGAGGCGAAAGCTGCCACATTGGCATTCAAGGGAAAGCCTGCTTCGTTCACAGCATCGGCCTCTCAGTGTTTGTCTCTTTACCTGCCGCTGCGATACTATATCTCCACACTGGGAGTGAACAATTCTGCTGCGTATGTGTCGTTCATTTCCTTGGTGGAATTGCTGGAATTGTTACACCATTCAATGCGGAAGGTGATAGATGCGGAGGAGAGGTCAGTGTGGTTTTCCCTGCAGGGTTTTTTCATTCGAGAATTGCAAGGGTTCATGTTTTAGTTCAGATATAGTTTTCTCAAAGGATTGTTTTTTTTGCGCAGGAGCTCAGCCGGCTATCGCAGAAACACTTGCGCAACTTCAAACTGGCCTATTCTGAAGATGATGTGCTGCCCAAACATCACTTCACACAGCACTTGGGCCCTTTGTTACGTTCTCAAGGTTACCTACTCAGCTGCTTCACGCACGAACGCCGCCACAAGTTCGTGAAATTGTATGGGAATGCATCGCGCAATGTGAATGCGCCTGAGTGTGGATCTATATACAGTTTCTTTATAGGATTATTGTCCTTCAAGTGTTTCTTCGTTTTTGCATTTTTTGTTCAAAGATATAAGTGACTGCCCAGGCCAAGTGGTCGCGGAACCTGTTGTTGGAGACATCCTTGGCACAGTTTCAACGGCTGGAAGGAATGGAGGGCTCTCTTTTGCACAATGTGGGCTTGGAGCCACCAATTCTACCAGCGCCTGATGTTGTCAGGCAAAGCCTTGAACTTTGCACAGGCATGTCCCTGGCCCACACCATTGTGGAGTACGCGTTGCAAGCGCGTATCCAGTTCGGAACTTGTAGGAGAGACGATTTGGTTCGCTGTGCGAGTGGAAGTGAGGTGGTGTATGGACAAGTTCATCTGCGTGTGAGGGCCGGTGAATGTTGGAGCATGATCAGTCCATGGGAGACTGCTGGAAAGAACCAGTTGAGAATCAAACACGATTCCGTGTGGGTTCCTACTGAAACAGTTCAAGGAGTCCTGACATGGAAAAAGGAAGGCGTGACGGCGTTGATAATGCCGCAAAGGTTTTGACCTTGCAAAATTTGCAGGGTTATATGTCACCTTGTGCTCCAACAGGGTTATGTCGCTCACCCTGCAAATGTGTAGGGTTTTTCGACTCGACTTGATTCCCGTGTGGAAAGAGCGAGTGGATGAAATTTGTGAATAGATAACATGAAATATATATGAATGAAATAATAAGGTAGTTTTTGATAGTAATAAAAATATTTTAGAATAACATAGATTAAATTATACATAGAGACATCGAATATGTTTGTTTGCTCCCCCAACGCAATACCATGGGAGGCCTGGCTCCCCTCTGGGCGTTGGGGGAACTAAAACCCAGGTTTGTTTGCGTTCTTGGTGTTGCGTTTACTCGTGTTTGCGCTTTGTTGTTTGTTGTTTCTTTTTGTGCGTGGCGCTATTCCTCTATTTGTTTGTGTTGGTTGTTTTT